CTTAAAATTATCAAGACTTTTAGCCCGCATGATGCTTAATGGAAAAGTATTCCAATAAATAGCTTTTACTGCGAAAGAGTTGGTAAGTAATGATGATGTTCTCCTAGCCGATTCCGGCCACGGCGGCCAATCTCATTGAGACTAGCCAACTGCGCAGGAGATATTATAGTGCACAAGTATACGCGCAGACACAACGTGCACTCTCTATTCCTGTCACTCTCATACTCCGGTGGGACGACTACTCGACAAGACCGGTGACTGTTAAGGCTCAGGACCGACGGCTTTACGTGCTCTCCGAGGCACGGGGGTGGAACACCGCCAACTTCCCAACTCCGGGCTGCTACTGAGACTTACTATACAGAAACGGTTGTTTGTGAAAAGACTAAGAAAAGGCCAGTCGCGCGACGAAGTTTTATTTCAATATTAAACGAGGACGACGGCAAGTTGGCCGTGATGATTACTATTTGTATTATTATTTCTATTTTGAAGAAAGAAAAGGAGACAGCAAATTCAGTTTTAGATGCAGCATAATACGTCATAACAGAAATACCATTTAAAATAGATACCAAAAACTAAGCAGTGTGATGATACATTTTGAATACACCAACAACAGCAACACACGTCTTTATTTTCTATCAATTAATCAATATTTATAATCAATATAATACAACCGGCCTATCCTTGCTTCGCTCGGGTTTGTCCCTAAGCTAATCTTATATGATTTAGGAAGGCATAAAAGACAAACGCCCAAAGAAACATTCTTTTTTTGCGCCAGGAACCTTCGCGCAGATTTCCCACCAAAGTTTTATCACAATCGGATCAATAGTTTAGAAACGTATAGTGGATAAACAGAAGAGACTCATTTTTATTTATATATAGATATATTTTTCTTTTTATTTACATATTTAACCAATTTGCTCAATTTTCATATAATTTCAAAATGTCTCTTTGATTATACAGCTTGTAAAACTGTAAAAGTGAATAATCGTTTAAGGGTTTAATTTTTTCGTCGAATGTAGAGAACGTCTTAGAAAAGTAAAATATTACACATAATAATTATTTAAATTGTACTGTGTAATACCACATCTATTCATAAATAGTACTCGTTACTAACAATCATATTATATTTCCCTTACAACAAAATACACCATTCACACATAGTATGCTTTTCGAAATACATATTCTGGTGTTTTACTGTCTTGCGAATAAAAACCCAAGTTTTAACACTGCGCACACTTAATACTTTCTTAGATTTACGCGAATATTTGACATTTTAAATAAAACTATCTTTTCGGATTTTGTCGCGGATTTATTTGTATTTTTGTTTCCCGACGTTTCGAATGCTTTACAGCATCCATGGTCACGGGAGAGACTGAGGTGTTACATGTCTTAAAGATATAGTTGTTACAGACAGCCTACCCACAATTAACAAAATGAAAATTGCACCAATTACATTACAATATTTTAACTTTAAATATTTTTTTTTTTTTTTTTATAATTTTAATTATAATTGAATATGGAAAATTATTTATTTAATTTTTGCTATTATTTTTATAATTATTACAATTTTAAAAATATTAATTAGCAATCTATATTTAGTGTTGCCATTATTATATTTATAACCATAAGAAAAATATAAAATATAGTATTAATTATTTAAGCCACAATTGATCTATGTGTAATTTGAAAAAGTTAAGATTAATTAAAAAATAATAATTTAAATTTAAATTTGCTATTATTTAAAAACAAATTATTAAGCAACACATTACTATATACATTTACAAATGAAAAAGTGAAAAAATATATTAATCAGAAATGCTATCTTTTGATCTACACAGTAAGAACTTACTACATCTACCTGTCTGTTATGTTTAGATTTATTATTAGATTTTATTATATTAATAACAGGATCCCATGACGATGGTAGTACCCAGCCATCTTCCCTATTGAAATTAGGATGTTTTTTAATTTCTATGGCCTCTCGAATCATTCTAGGGCGATATCGGTTTTCTTTCGCCAGGATTTGAGGCCTATCGAAGCGAATATAATGGCTTGGGCGGTCCTGACTGTGTTTGCAGACAGCAGATGTTGTATTGCGACGGTGCTTCACATCAGCTATGTGTTCTTTGACCCGGGTTCTAATGGATCTCTTTGTTTGTCCGATGTAAGAGAGCCCACAATCACAATCAAGCTTGTAAACTCCTGCATCTTGTAGAGGGATGTGGCACTTGACAGGTGGTAGAAACTGACTAATTTTCTTTGGCGGCTTGAAGTAAGTTTTAATTGAAGCTCGCTTTAGAATGTAGCCAATCTTGTCAGTGACGCCTCTCATGTAAGGTAGGACTGCAGGGACGCGCTCGACTGTGGCTGGTTTCACTCGGTCCCTGTGACGTAGGCGCGGCACTTGCAGCTTGTTGTCTCGCAGAACTTGCTTGACATGTTGCAGTTCTCCGGCCAGGTGTTGCTCGTCACAGATCCCGCGTGCCCTCTGAAACAAAGATTTTCCCACGGTAGCTAACTGTGAAGGGGGGTGGTGAGATTCACCATTCAAGTACCTATCAGTATGGGTCTTCTTTCGATACACAGTATGACTCAAGGTGTTATCTGGGTTACCATGACTCAAGGTGTTATCTGGGTTATCTGGGTTACGTAACCCAGAAAACACCTTGAGTCATACTGTGTATCGAAAGAAGACCCATACTGATAGGTACTTGAATGGTGAATCTCACCACCCCCCTTCACAGTTAGCTACCGTGGGAAAATCTTTGTTTCAGAGGGCACGCGGGATCTGTGACGAGCAACACCTGGCCGGAGAACTGCAACATGTCAAGCAAGTTCTGCGAGACAACAAGCTGCAAGTGCCGCGCCTACGTCACAGGGACCGAGTGAAACCAGCCACAGTCGAGCGCGTCCCTGCAGTCCTACCTTACATGAGAGGCGTCACTGACAAGATTGGCTACATTCTAAAGCGAGCTTCAATTAAAACTTACTTCAAGCCGCCAAAGAAAATTAGTCAGTTTCTACCACCTGTCAAGTGCCACATCCCTCTACAAGATGCAGGAGTTTACAAGCTTGATTGTGATTGTGGGCTCTCTTACATCGGACAAACAAAGAGATCCATTAGAACCCGGGTCAAAGAACACATAGCTGATGTGAAGCACCGTCGCAATACAACATATGCTGTCTGCAAACACAGTCAGGACCGCCCAAGCCATTATATTCGCTTCGATAGGCCTCAAATCCTGGCGAAAGAAAACCGATATCGCCCTAGAATGATTCGAGAGGCCATAGAAATTAAAAAACATCCTAATTTCAATAGGGAAGATGGCTGGGTACTACCATCGTCATGGGATCCTGTTATTAATATAATAAAATCTAATAATAAATCTAAACATAACAGACAGGTAGATGTAGTAAGTTCTTACTGTGTAGATCAAAAAGATAGCATTTCTGATTAATAATATTTTTTCACTTTTTCATTTGTAAATGTATATAGTAATGTGTTGCTTAATAATTTGTTTTTAAATAATAGCAAATTTAAATTTAAATTATTATTTTTTAATTAATCTTAACTTTTTCAAATTACACATAGATCAATTGTGGCTTAAATAATTAATACTATATTTTATATTTTTCTTATGGTTATAAATATAATAATGGCAACACTAAATATAGATTGCTAATTAATATTTTTAAAATTGTAATAATTATAAAAATAATAGCAAAAATTAAATAAATAATTTTCCATATTCAATTATAATTAAAATTATAAAAAAAAAAAAATATTTAAAGTTAAAATATTGTAATGTAATTGGTGCAATTTTCATTTTGTTAATTGTGGGTAGGCTGTCTGTAACAACTATATCTTTAAGACATGTAACACCTCAGTCTCTCCCGTGACCATGGATGCTGTAAAGCATTCGAAACGTCGGGAAACAAAAATACAAATAAATCCGCGACAAAATCCGAAAAGATAGTTTTATTTAAACTGCGCACACTTTTTATCTTAAAGAAAGAAATGAAAATAATTTATCAAAGGTGGTGAAGATAGTAAATGAAGTTTTACGTTGACACAAGGAAACTTCTTTTTTCCTCGCTTAACAAATTTCTAACGGAAGAAAGATTAAACGTTCTATTTGCCGTTGTTCAAGTTTGTAACGAATCACGTCATTTTGCAATCACATGAAATTCTGTAGTGCGATTGAAGCAGCTTAGAGCTAGCAAATGAATGCATTCGTCAACATGTGAATGCGGCATGCGTCAGTGGGTTTAGTTAAACGAGTGCTGAGTTTGTTCATTCGTTTGAAAGTTTTCGTTTGCTTGTCTTCTAAAATGAATCAAATTATTTTTAATTTAATCCCTTTGTTGCGTATGTTTCTTCGCCTTTAGAGAGTTACGTTATAATTAATATATTGCACTTCTAATTGTTTTTAAAAGTTCCTTTTTTAGAATAATTTACAAATACCTATAAAAAATAATCAAAAATTAAACCGACTTCAATAAAAATACTAAAAAGTAAAAATAACTGAACAGGGGTTTTTTATACTATAGATACCTGACCAGATATTTTCGAAGTCGGTGCCAGCCGATGCAAAGCATAGCAAATCTATTTCGATACGTATAAATACATCACAAATTGATGTATAATATTTTAACTATAATTAGAGTCCATACCTTGTCATATTTACCTAACAGATATTCATATCTTTAGGCATTGTCTGCACCTATAAAATTTTGTAGATTTGTTTGGAAGCCCTAATAGATTATTATATGTGAATATTTTGCAGTTAATATTACATACATACGTGTCGTATTGGTAACCTCCTTTTTTTGAAGTCGTTTAAAAATATTAAAGCTTTTAGTCTGTTACTTTTAACTAAAAATAACATTGTATGTGTGATGTGAATATAAAAAAATGCAATTATTATTATTTTTATTATCGTTGATTATTATTTTTATTATGCGTGATTGGTCTTTTTACATGTATAAATATATTGCAGAACTCAGGCCTTTGGCAAGGGAGACTAGTGAAGCGAGGGAAGATACCCAAGAATGATCTCGGCGAATCTTGGCATTGGAAGGATTTAGATATCGGCAAGGACATTTGCATCTATGGCAAAGTGTTTCACACGGTCTCGTGCGATCTTTTTACTAAGGTAGGTGACTAAATTTAAGGATGTGTAGTAGGTAGCAGTACTCAACAATGGTTTTTTGATTAATATAATATTTGTAAATATAGAGTAGATAAAAAAATAACTAAAACTTGAATAAATGCAAAAAAAAAGTAAAAACAAATTCAAAATAAAATTGTACTTTTTGGCCAAAAACTAGCTTATCATCTAAAAATACGATATATTAAAAAAGAACTCGGAGCGATGCTCGGTAGCCCAGGTACCTACTTTACTACTTATACTATAAACTCTTTGGGATGTAAACAAACGATTACGAATTTTAACAGTAGAATACTCTTGTATCATTATATCATATCTACTTATTTAATTAAAAAAATATTAATGTATATTTTTACTGTTATAAAAAAATATTAATGTATACTATCTGTTTTTTAAGTTACTGAAATGAAGTATATAAAGAGATACAATCGAATAATTTACATATTTAATTTATTTATTATAAAAACTTATCACTATGTAGGTAAGCTAAGATCATGCAGTGTTAAATATCTAAAATGTCTGAAAGTATATGTTTTATTACAAAATCGTATGAGTAGTAAATTATGAGGATAATGGCAATATTCTAAATAAGTTACAGTATTATTAACACTCAGCTAGTTTTAATATTACAAATTGACTTTTGGGCAACGCGCCAGTCAATAAAAACTATAGAAATATATAATAAACTTTGTCGAAATATTAATTTGAAATTCTTATTTTCAATGACTCAACCACTTAAAATAAAGATATCATGTTATTATTTTAATAAGCTTTTAAATATCCCCGTGCTCTACGGAACGATGAAAAAATATGTATTAAAGCAGAAATAGAAGGTTTAGAATATGTGAACATACATATCTATACTAATATTATAAAGAGGTAAAGTTTATGAGTTTGTAGATTACTTCCTACAACCAGTAGGAAGAAATCTAAGGATCTTACTGAAGTTTGAGACTCTGGGAAGGACATAGGATACTTTTTATTCCGGATTTTTAATTCCGGATTAATATAAATAATAAAAGTAATTTTCTTGTAACTGAGATACTTTTTTGTATTCGAGATAAAAACATAATTCTTTTAATTTAGGTCTCTATGTACAAAGATAGGTGTCTCCCGTGGATAAATGCGAAAGTTTGGATAGATGGATGTTTGTTACTCAATCACACCAGAATGGCTGATCGGATCTGTCTGTCTGAATTTATATTCCATACTAATCGTTAAAACGTACCTAGCCCTACCTACGTAGGTTGAACCCTAGCGATGAGCCTCTAGCTTTTAATAATAATTATCTTAGTTCCTCATATAGTTCTTTACCTTCAAATATCTCAGAAATGTGACTGATACTTTAGGGCTTCATATTGTTATTATTTTTTTATTTATACATACAGTTGCAATAATTGCATTACGCATACGTAAGTTGGGAAAATGATCGAAATGGTAACTAATAGCAATGCGAAATAAGGTTTTGTCTAATTTATTAGTAAAATGGTCTATTCATATTTGAATTATTTTTAGTTTAGTTCAAAGTTTAATGAAAGAAAATGAAAATGTTGGAAGAAATAAACGTTAAATATTACGAAAAGTAACGCTTACTTTATTTAATTTTGATACTTTTTTAACGGGCAATCTTTACAAAATTTTACTATATCCTTATTCTACGTATATTTAAAATTATAGCCCAATAAATGGAGACTAATAGATAAGTATCGATAAAATAGAACGGTCTTTCATGTTGTTCGCCGGAGGTCGTTCAATTCAGGTTCATTTTGTTTAACCGTACGCTGCGTTCTATTTAGCCTCCGTCTACGAGTTACGACCAATGCACCGGAGGCATTTTACAAATTCACAGTAAATCTACCTACCCAATTTTGGCACAGTGGTTAATTGTTTAAGTTATTAATAGCAAAAATAAAACATTTTCTGCTGTAGCTATTTTATCATATTCGTTAATAACTCATTTTATTTTCCGCTGCTTTTATGAACACCCATGAATGGAATAATTACAGATAAGTGATATTGAATTTCGTGTACATTTTTATTACTAAAAATTAATTATTAGATAAATTAAAAAGTCAATTAAATGCACAAAAATGTAAATTAATATGTACAAAATCAATTTAAAAACAATAAAATAATGGACTTGAAATAATGAGATTAAATCAAAATTTAAATAAGACTGTTTACTTATTATGTGTTCATTTTGGAGTTGGAAACTTTATGTCTGTCTTTTTATTGTACGTGTAGTGAAATACAAAAGGCAATATATTGCCTTTTGTATTTATATCTAGCATAGATTTTTACTATCGGAAAGATTGAAACTCCGGGTTAAAAGAATAAGACAGACGCAGTGTATGAAACAATAAAGTGAAGCCAAAGGAAATCGGTAGTGTGTTAACTGAAATCTATTGTATTTTAGATTAACCGATTAAATGTCAATAAAGTATTATGTAGATCAAGATCCGGCTGCAAGATTGCTACGTTCATAGCGTATTTAATCAGAATTATTTTTTTATATACAATAATAAAAGGGACAATATGTTTTGACCGGGGTGCCTATTCAAATGTGCCCGCTAGTATGTTTAATTAACTAAATAATAGTTAACTTTTTGGAATAAAAACGATGCATTTGTTATTACAATGAATTATACCCCTCTTCACAGAAATATACGTAGAGATCTTGAAAAGTGATAGCTGCCGTTGCGCACTTGGCCGCAACCTCTTCGCAGCCAGGTGTAAGCAGGTCATAGTTTGTTACATTTATACGTTCATAGCGCATATTCATTATTTATTTATCAAATTAAAGCTATTTTTTTCTGTTCCTGATAAACTACGTCTGCCTTTGTAAAAGTGGCCGCAAAGGGGGCTGCCAGTTGGTAAAGATTTTTTTGTTACAATTATACATTCATGGCGTATATTGATCATTTATATATCAAATTAAAGCTAATTTGTTTTCTGTGCATGATAAAATACCTCTCACATTTGTAAAAGTGGCCGCAAAGGAAAGAAAAGAAGGAAAGAATATAATATTATATATCATTTGTCAGACAATAACAACGGTTAAGGTCACTAAACTGTATAAATCTACCAAATTAAAACTCTCCTTGACCTTTTACAGGTTGGATGAGTAGGCCCATAGAGTGGCTTATTACGGTCCGGTAGGTTAGGGTTGTGAAATAATTAAAATATAACATTTTCTAATCCTTAAAATATGAAAGATATTCCATGAAAGATTTGTTCATCAATGGCAGAAAAAAAAAATAATTGTATCAATGTATAATTTTTACTGTAATTTATAATGTATCTTATATGATTTTTTCTCCGTACAAATGGTTTTTTTACACGCATAATGATTATTATTATTATTATTATGTAAAAAAAAGAATATTTCAAAGTTTGTGGTATTATTTATTTAAAATACACATCCCTACTATTTTACATTGTATTGTATATTTACAATTGTAAATTTATAACAGGTAGGTTTTTATTAAGTTTACCACGCTTCTGAAGTACATACATATACATTATACGTATATAGTATATAATCTGTGGCTTTGCGCTCTCCGCGCTTCGCAAATTATTCCTGAGAGCAGTAATGTTTCAAACTTTCAAATATTTTCATTCCGCACTTTAAATATAATTTATAGTAAATAAATATTAAATAACTATTACTTATAGATTTCTCGAAAGGAGGGCGTCACACGTATGGCCTATTTACATTCATTCCGAGGTTATACAATTTATTATATCTCTTTTTAACCGACTTCCAAAAAGGAGGAGGTTCTCGATTCGTCGGAATCTTTTTTTTATGTTTGTTCACCGATAACTCGGAAGAAGCCTGAACCGATTCGGATTTTTTTTTCAAAGGGTATACTTCCCAGGTGGTCCCATATAAATTTTATCGAAATCGGTCTAGCTGTTTTTTAAAAATCAATAATAAATTCTTTTTTTAAATAAATTGTTTAATCGAATATGTTATTAAAAAACTTTCTTCTTACAAATTTCCTGCTTATTACATCTACACTAAAAATGGAAAAATAAAAACTTAAAAAAAACCGACTTCCAGGCACTAAAATGTAAAAAATAACTAAACGGAGGTTTTCATTTAGAATCAGATATTTTCAAGTTCGGTGCCAGCCTACAATATTTTAAGATATGAATATCTAATAGGTAAATATGTATTTGATTTATAATATATGAAAATATCTGATTAGGATTCTAAATGAAAACCTCCGTTTAGTTATTTTTTACATTTTAGTGCCTAGAAGTCGGTTTTTTTAAGTTTTTATATAACTAGTTTTTTACTTCTATTGTGTTTGTATCTTACCTGTTACCATGAAGGGGTAAAAAGGGGGATGAAAGTTTGTATGAAACTCTGTAATTAATAAGTAAAAAAGTACAAAAAAATATTTAAAAAATCACCTGTAGACGATTTAAGAGTTTTAAAATGATGTCCATGTAGTCGTAAATATAAAGATTGTAATTTCGCCAATTTTGGTCGTCTTATTGCTTTAGTCTACAATTTGTTTAGATATTTTTTTTGGCCTTAAATGATGTCAATTTTTTTGCATCCTGGTACTGCACAATTTGTCATTTTAATTAAATTTTAAATAAAATGAAAAATCCATCCACGCTATAGAGCTTAAAAATATACTGAGGGCCATAGTGATCGCGACATCTGGCGGGAAAAAAAGGCAAAATTCTTCCCCATTCCGTATCATTCATATTATGTAATTATAGGGCTTCAAAATAAATCCGTGTATTTTAGTAGTAGTTTATTTAGTAGTTATAGTATTTTATTCAATTAAGTACACACGTGAAACCATAGTAAGCAGCTAGTATTAGAAATAATATCTTCATGGAATATTCTGTGACAAAAAATTTTCTTCAATAGTAATATTTTTCGTTCTGGCAATTTGGCATATTTGTATTGCATAGATACACGGTATCCCGTCGGATTCCACGTTTCGTGATATCATAAAGTGATTTTTCGGTCG